TTTTTTCTTCAACTACCTAAAAGGCCATCCACTGTTCTGATATATCTGTAATTACACACTTGAGGTTTATGGATCGTCCATTGACAAAAACAGCTATCTGAATTACAGGAGTTAAAAAGAGTTCTAAATCAGAATCTTAGAATCATGCCATCATAGAAATGTTGAGGGACCTCCAGAGGTCATTTAGGGTACGTCTACACAGCAACATTATTTTGAAATAACTAGCATTATTTTGAAATAGCTTATTCCACGTCTACACAGAAGGCAGTTATTCTGAAATAATGTTGAAATACTGTCAAGCTGGAGGACTTCTTACACTGACTCCTGAAACCCTCATCGTATGAGAAGTAAGGGAAGTTGGAGGAAGAAAAGTGCTCTATTTCAAAGTAAGTGCTGTGTAGACACTCCCAAATTTGAAATAAGCTATTTTGAAATAAGCTACGCAATTGATATAGATGCACTCTTAGTCCAGCCCTCCAGACTGAAACCAGGACCAAGTATACCTGATCATCCTTGTTTTTAGAAATATTGAATAAGGATTCTATAGCCTCCTTTAACCTGTTCTAGAACTTAACTATGCTATAGTTTAAAAGTTTTTCCTTTAATCCAATTTACATTTACATTTCTCATGCTCAGATTAAGGTGACTAAATTCAATGACTCTGGAGAGTAATTGTTCTCTTTCTCTTTGTAGCAGCCCTTAGAATATATGAACACTCTTACCATGTTCCACCTCAGTTATCTTTTCTCAAGACTACACATGCTTAATTTTTTAATATTTCTTTATAGGTCAGGTTTTCTAATCCTTTTATTACTTTTGTAAATCTCCTCTGGACTCCTCCAGTTTGCTCATATCTTCCTTACAGTGTGGCACCCAGAATCAGACACTGTACTCCAGCTGAGTAGAGCAGAATAGTTACCTCCCATTTCTTGCATATGACACTGTTATTAACGCACATTTCAGTGGCATTAGCCTTTGTGCAACTATAGCAAATCAATCATTTAGTCAAAAGCCATGTTTGGCTGATTGGTAGCAGGCATTTGAACACTACAGGAAATTCATTTCTGCCTGCTGTGAAAGATGAAGGTTGCCATAAGGAGCATCCAAGATTGATGGGGGGAGAGAGATAAAAGATAGAAACTCTTTTTCCTTAAAATTTCTAACCAGTGCTACCACCTAAACATCTCCACTGCTGAAGATAACTGCAGAAGCATTAGTGTAGAAAAGATTGTCAGCCAGTGACATTTCAGCTATTCTGTTGTCTACAGTATCTCAGAAGTAGTCTGGATGTTGGAGTGGTTAAAATCCCGCCAGCCACCTTGTATATACTTATGCTCATGTTACAAGTGGGGCGACTCTGGTAACAGCAATGGTGAGAAATTTTAAGGGGGAAAGACTAGTGCAGATACACATTTCAAGAGTCCTGGAGACCTCTTACGGAACAAAGAAGCTAACCATTTCTGTGCCACAGCTCTTATTTTATTTTTAGCTATATAAAGATATCCATAGAACTACATGTAAATCTATAGATAGAATCATTCCTAAGCAGCGAGACATAATGTCTGCCAAGTTTAAGGCCAAAGCAAATTTATATAGCCAAATTATAAACCCTAGAAATAGGGCTTTATAGTGGAAGTGCTGTCATAACCTTAACTAGTGTGTATAGCTGTAGTGGGCGTCAGTTTAAGTTCTAGTTTTGATGTGCATTTAATGGCACGAGATCAATCATGAAGTGTAATAGGATATTTTTAGATATTATGTTTGAAGGGAATTCATATTTAAACATTATCTACGAACCACATAATCTGACTGCCTCTTTGAAATGTCATTTAATCCTTGGTACAGAATTGCATGAAAAAATTCCTGATCACATTTCTCAAAATGAACAGTAGCTTAGTTTTTGACTGTTTTTAAGTGATATTTAGAGAACTGAAATATTTTGCTGCTGAACATTTATCAGAATATTCCTCTAAAATAATGTTTCCAATATTTTATCTTGATCTTTTCTAGTTCTTCCTTTCTGCCTTTTGGGGTATACTCTGCTTGTGTTTAGAAGAAATTGTTAAACATAATTCTTTCAGTATCTTCTGTACATGAATACTATGTTAACTTGATTACTCGGAACCATTTTCCCCAAAACATTAGTGTTTTATGTTCCCTTGGGAGACAATAATTCCACAATTGAAGCTGTCATTCGTTAACCTAATAGTTCACAACAGTAAAGCTTGCTGCAATAAAGATGATGATTATTGCTCTCACTGCTAATACAGAGAATGGGAATGTGGTGCTGAAAGCTGCTAGTTTTACTCCTTTGCAGTGTGAAACCTAAGACTGCGTACTTTAACACTATCCTTGGAAAACAACTTGAGTGCTGAAAGTGCCTCTTCTGTTCATGCAGGAAATTTAACCTAGTTTCAGTGCAAAATGTTATACCTTACAGCAGTGCTTAATAGTTTTGTCTAATAGTTAAAATATAATACAAATTGTACTTTTACAAATAATAAGAATACACCTGACATTTTCAAAGCACTTCACTAATATTCCATAAGATGCAGAGCAAGCTGAGTGAAATCTTGTCCCCATCCATGTTGGAGGAAGTTTTTCTATTGACATTAGTGAAGTGCATTACCCATACCCATTTTGCAGATAACAAACCAATGCATAGAAGAGTTAAGGTGCCTGGCTTTTTCACAACTGCAATAATACTGAGCCAAATTCAGCCCTCTCTTATACTTGTGTCACTTGAAAATAAATCTGTTAATTTACGTGAAATATCCCAGAGGAGATTAGCTAAGGCCCTGGCCCTGTAATGAGCTACATACAAGTGTTTGTCTGCAAGCAGCTCATATTGTATTGGGTCCAAGAGCAGAATTGGACCAAGTGTCCTAAACATAATTCCTTGCTTTATTTTTGAGACCACAGTTTCTTCCATTTTCACACACTGCCATCATAAGGACCTTTCACTTTCTATCATTCCAGACTATATACTTGGATTTTTTAATTGCTGAATTTTTAATTTCAGCTACTGTGTAACATTTCAATTTAACAACTAATTTTAATTATAATGAATTGTCCCATTGATCATTACTGAATGTTAGCCTCTGATGTACCATAGAACAGCGATCCTATTGAAGCAAGGTATAGATGTATATGGTCATCAAAATATGTAATAACCATAAACTAGTTAGTCAGCAACAGTGTGAACAAAACAATCATCCATGTGGCAGGCACTAATAAGTGCATACACCCAAAGTTGTGTATGCACACATACAATCTGGAGCTCTGAGTTCAGGGGGGAAGGAAACGAACATGAGCAGGAAACAGGAAGTAATAAGCAAGAGGTCCCCACGCACACCAGTCATCATATTGATTTTTTAAAAATGTATTGATTTAAAATAACACTTTCAGACTAGGTTTTTCAAAGTGCATTTGCACTTGGGTTCGTCACCCAAACTTCCCGATGTATGTGCATGTCCACACATTTGCACATGCACATGACATAGGCATGCTTGTGTTCTCACATCTGAGTTTGCACGTGAGCAGGTTGAGAGCACACATTTTGTGTGAACATTCTTTTGAAAAGTTGTCAGGTGCAGCAGTCTACTATGTATGAGTTCATTTTCCAGAAAATATAAAAATTGTTATCATAGAAGAGCCCTATAACTTTAAAATAGCTAGTAAACCAGAATGTCATTTAGTCTTTAACATTTGGCAAACCCAAGAAAAACATGTTTGATAAATCTGATCTCAGGGACTTGAATTTTTCAATTGTTCTGATGCAAAAGAAATATTCCAATTTTTTACTTTGTAAGACAATCTATTGATTTATGCTTTTCTTATTTTGTGTGTCAGAAGGTTTTGGTCTGGAATATGCAATATATATCATGTAATAAACTCAAAGAAAGGCCATTTGTAAGACAAATATGGAAAATGTAGAGGTAGATCTCATAAGAGCTATTTTGTATTATGAATATGTCTAGTTGTAGACTCACTGATTTCCTTTCAGTCTTTTAGTTATGAGCAATTCTTTATTCAAACTCAAACTAATAATCATTTCTCCTTCTAAAGTGATTATGCTCCATAGTATTAATTTTGTTGTTTCTCTTTGGATATAAAGTAGCCCCTGTCACTAGTTAGTCATATTCTTTTGCACCATAAATGCCGTGTCATTTTAATTCTAGTAGTGCATTAGAGTGCAAATATCATTTAGCTGGATTCTCAGTCCCAAGTACAGGTTCGGTTTACTCTCTCTCTTGGAGGAACAATTGATCAGATTTTTAAAATTATTATAGAAGTCATAGTCTCAATATTAAGATAACTAATGAACTGTATTGTGATGAGAATATATGAGCAGTCAAATTTAATTTGAAACAATTCTGCAAGGAAAAGGCGCAGGCATGTGAATTTTGCAATCAAATATGTAGAACCAAACTATTTGTTGTATGGTATCACTGTGTGTACTTCTTAAATGGTAGAGTTATCATCACAGTGTCAATGTATTACTCAAGTGTGGAGATAGAGAATCCCAAATGAATTTATTCTCTTTTTCTAGTTAACCAGTAAAACCTTTTGAAGAAAGTATAAATTTAGATGGTCTCACCAGCAGCTTTACTGAGAAAAAAGTTTATATTTGTGTGTTTTTCAAAAAAATGAGGATCATCTTAGATGACTGTCTTCTATTCTTTATTTAACTTTTTTGTATTTTGTATATAGAAACTGACATTCCAACTGATTTTCACTGGCCTTCTTTCTGCCTGGTTTGAATACTAAGGCAGCAAATTAGGAATGCTTCACAAGTTTCACAAAGATGTTTGCTGTGAAAGTGGAGATAATGTGACACTTATATTTGGAGCTTCTTAGCTTACTCAAATGATAAATGATGGCATAGTTTCAGGTAGTGTGTGTGTTTGGGGGGAGCTGTTAAAGACTGAAAGAATGGAATTCTACTACAGTTATCCATCATGTGACTATTCTGATAATGCCTTTTATCTCTGTTTCAGGGGCTAACTTTGTAACTCGAAAAATTAGCCGATCAGTAGCTAAGATTCACCTTGGACAGATGGAATATTTCAGTTTGGGCAATCTGGATGCTAAAAGAGACTGGGGCCATGCCAAAGACTACATTGAGGTAGGTTATTGGCTATGTGCCCTTTTTGAAACAATGCCGTTTATCTGTTTAATGCAATAACTTCAGTGAAAATGCATGACCTGCACAGGGGTATCTCATGAATTTTTACCCACAGAGGCCTGTTAACTTAGTGTTGCTCTCAGTTTCAAGCTAGGGAGTGTTCAGTAACATAATGGGCTACCCCAGCCATGACCTGAACAGAAAAATAAATCTTCAGGTTTACATTCCTTTACCAAATTCCTCTGGGAGGGGTCTATAAACTGGAACTATTTTAAAGAGTTTTTCGCCTATTGTTTCTGCGAACTTTTATGTCCAACATTAAGATCATAGCAAGATGCAGTGAAACCTGACTTTAAAGACCTCACTGCAGGCTGTCAGCCTTTTATACTGTGATGGGACAAAACACCATGAATACTGAGAATCACAGGTCAGGTTACTTTTGCTTCAGAAAGAAGCTTCGTACAAATATTATCATATCAAGTATTATGTATCATATATAACTATAACGGTTTACTTTATTTCAGATGTTTTTGCCAGTCTAAATTGTCCTAATTATAATCTATGTATATCCTTTTTTTAAAAAAATCGACATTGTATTGAAAAAAGTATCATTCATGTCATCAGAAATATTGCCATTTTTCTAGGCGCTCTTTGTCCTCATTTTGCCTCTTAAAGATTTTCTGTGGTCATTGGGAAATTTCTAGCTTTTAATAATTTCTCCCTACCTTCCATGTTCATTGGTATGATTAAAAAATATGATGGTTATTTATGTTTCTTAAATTACAAATTAAATATCAAAATACAAAGTGTTTTGTTGGGTAAGAAAAATCAGGTTTCTGGTGATTTCCTCTCTTCCCCACCGCTAATTCTATGGTTTTAGATTTTTTTTGAGATCTTGGACCGTGACTAAAGTGGTTAAAAGGAACACCAGTAAGACTAAAATATATTACTAATTTAAATATTGTCCTGTGTATCATGGTAACTTACCAACCTCCATGATGATCGTGATACAAATGGGGGAGAGGAAGGGTTTTATTGCATATTCATCCAAGCCATTACCTCAGATGAGTGGAGAAGTAAATGTGTCCATCCAGACTGTAAAGTTAGGCCACAATTCTGCAATCCCTTAGCATGGAAGGACCCATATGCGTACTAGGAACCCTGGATGTCGGTATGATATTTCATGGGAGCAAGGATCCATTTGCTTGGATATCATTTTCTGTTTAGGACTTAAACATGGTTAATTAATCCAGGAAATTATTTTATATGTAACATTTTATTGCAGGTAGAAAATTAACAACATCTATGGTATAAAGGGTCTTAGCTCTGTTATTTATAAGTAAAACATAACCTTTCACAATTAACAAGCTTTCATTTAAAAAAAAGTAGAATAATATAGTTATGAGTAAAATATATTCAAAGAAAATGTGTACATTGAGTCGAATATGAATATTCAAGACTGAATGCAAGACTCTTATATCCTGGTATAAATTCAGAGGAATTCTATTGTACTCAGTAGGTCAAATTTTGGTACCACTGAAATCAATAACAAGACTGTTTGTTCTTTGGTGGAGCTGTGTTAGTTACAGCCACTATGGTATACAGTGAGGGCAAAAATTGGTCTACATTCTTCAGATTTTACCTGGAATGAGCTGTGAGCATTCTTAACAAACAAAACCAAAAACCCCTCTCCTCATCTTGTTCAGCAAAACCACCAGATGGAAAGTTCTCAGCAGGAGTCTCCATCAGGTACACTATAAATAGAATTCCAGACTTTCACTCATATGTTTTGGGGCTGTCCCAAAATCATCTGAAAAGAATTTCTCACTAGGATAGAGTTCTTCTTGAATATCTCATTAGAAGGATCCCTTTACCTAATGGGAGACTTATTCTCTAAATATATTTAAAATGTGGTTGCTTCCATTCTTATAATGGCTAAAAAAAAGAATAACTTTAAAATAGAAATAAACAGCTATTTCAGGCTTTAATGGACTAGAGTGAATTTAGAGATTTAACATAATTAGAGTAAATATGCTATATAATGTTAAAAAGTATGATCATATTTATAAGCATTTTGGGAGATTCCTTAAATGCACGACTGAGTACATTAGGATGTATAATATCCTATCTATATTTAATTTTCAGTTCCATGGATGTTAATATGAGTGGCATATGCCTGTAGGGTAGACCCCATTCTGTCCTTTTCTTTTTCTTTCTTTGCTTTATGGTTAGGAATAAATAATAATAACAGCATTCATATTTGTTTTATATTTTGACTTAAATCCTGCTCTCATTATAGTCAGTGGCAAAACTCTTCTTAACTTCAGTAGTGACCGATTTCATCCTATCTTTACTGATGTGGATATTGGGATGAAGTGTTGTCTGATGTTCAGAGACTAAGACTATGAATCAGACCTCTTAGAGTCCCATTTCATGTATACTATTGATCTTACATCATGATATTGTGTTAAGTTACTTCTCAGTTCAGTAAAGTACTCAAGCATATGCCTAAACTGAAATATGCAGCTGTCCCATTGAAGTGGAACTACTTGTATGCTTAAAAATTAAGCATATGATGAAATACCTTGCCACATCAGAGCTGTTTGTAGATGTTTTTAAAAAATGTTAGTGGAAGATATTTTTGTTTATAATTTCATTGATATTAGTTGGTGCTTAAACTTCCACCTGCAGTGGTTGCAAATCAGAGCATTGTTCTAGTAGATGAAAACCTGAAAATGTAATTTGCTCAAAAGAAGAGTGTAACTTCTTCATCTAGTTGTATTGCTCTCATAGACACAAAAACAAAACAAAAAAAGAATAAGCAAATAGTAAAAAGTAAATGTTTGTAAAAAGTCAGTTTTCAACTAAAATATTATTGATAATTACAAAATGTTTTAAGCAACTGATTTTTAACTTGTAGTTGATCCTTTTAATTACAGTGATGTTGATATTTGTAAATTGGTGGGAGGAGTTTGGAATTATAATATGAATAGAAACCAATATAACCAACTGAAGGAAGGAGGGGAAGTAATATGTCAACACTGTTGATGAATGAATCTTCTGTGTGCTGTTTTGTTTTGTGAGGTTAATTTATATCTTTTATTTGATGCAGAACATTACGATAAACCATCTGCTAGATATTTTCAAATTCTAGTACAATAGTAAGCACTTAACAGTCTATGACTCATTCCTGTACCATGTGAAAAACACAAGGCATCATACACTTTTCCTCTCACCACTACCCCAAGAGAGTCTTATTTCAATACAAGTTCTCACAAACATTTAACGTTGGACGCTGAGAAAGTAAGCTTCAATCCATTGCTAACTTTTTATTTCCCAGCAGCCAAATACTGTTAACGCTAAAATTATGAAGGATACATGAGAAACATGTTTATTTGTAAAGCTGTAATAGGATATCCTTCCAATAGAACACAACCTTGCTGTAAACTGGCCTAGAGAGATAGTAAGTTTGCCTTTTCCAAGTTCTTCAGCTGAGCTTTCCTCTCTTCTCTTACCTTTTGGCGTAGTGCTCTGGGCCTGGGCAATTCAAAGCAAAGTTAAAGTTTGTGCAGACAGCAGAGGTGCACAGAAGAAGAGCAGTCCAACCAGACAGAGCTAACTACCCAACCGTAGTGTCACTGGCCTAGTTGAACTCCTCCACTTGGACATTCTCCAGACTTCTATGAATAGATAAAAGAACTGAATCCCACATGCTGTTTACTTGCTGGGTCTAGGCAGAGTTGGCATTTATTTTATTTATACAAAATATTTTTTCCCTGCCTCTCTAGTTAAAATTTTCAAGGTGGCTTACAACATTTTTTAAAACACAATATAAATATATATAAAAAATTAAAATACAAGACCCCAGAGGGACAGAAAACATTCTAGCTGTGCTACTTCCCTGCAAGCTGGATGTTTCAGGGAACCTTGAGGCTTCCCTCCCTATCCTCTGCCGCACAGGAAGCCGGTGCTGGCGCTTCAATGTAGTGGGGCAGCGGGGCGGGGCAAGGACCTGCGAGGTTGGAGCGCCTGCAGGGGCGACTCATCAGGTAGGTGGTGCTGAGGTACTGTGGGCAGGTTCGGCCTTACTGGGGCACAAGTGGGGCTAGCTTAAGCTGCTCTGGCCTGTCAGGAGCCAGGTTGTCAGCTGGGGCTACCCTGAAGAGCCGCACCATGGTTCAGAGCTGGCCACCCCGTCCTGACTCAGCTCGCCCCGGGTAGCTGGAGAGTGAGAGCCAGTGATGTTGATGACGTGATGACATCATTCTGTCTTCCGGCAGAAAAACATTTTTTATATACAGAGAGAGATGAAAAAAAGGCAAAATTTCAAACTAGAGTAAAATTTAATGACCTGAACTTTACAACCTGTGTGAATGTTCTACAGTGTCTGCAAACATCAAGAAACATTCTCCTTTGTCTTCTGCATTAATCGGGCAATGTTTTGGGGGTATAGGGCAGGGAAGGTGCTAATAGTGGATACAGTCAACAAAGCATTTAGGTATGAGACTATTCGGATGCTTATAGCTAAACATGTGCTTAGGTGCCTTCTTGGGCACAGGTTTATGCAGGAAGCTGATTGCATTTTGAGATTGATTTTAATAAAATAACTAGAGGACTTACCTGGCGTTGTCCAGGTCCTCGTGAGAGCTCAATGTAGTGGGGAGAGGGTGAGGCAATCAGAGTTCCCTTCCCCACCAGGTGGTTCCTGGCAAGGGGGTGGCTGCACGGCCCCTCCCCAAAGTCAACCCACCTACCCGAAGCCCCAGGTGCTCCTCATGAGGTGTGAGGGTGGGGATGGGACTGGCCTGCCTGGCCCCAGCTGCCAGCTCCCCCTGCAGGTCTGTGTTACCCAGTCTTCCCCACACATACATCGGACAGCTCCTCGCTGC